GTTGACCTCCCGCTCCACGGACGGAGCTTTTTCCACCACGTTCTCCTGGTGGGGTTTCTCCTCCGGGTTCTCCATCCCCATCGCGTCGCCTGCAACAAGGGGATGAAGGTTGGACTCGATCCCGAAGGTCTCTCCCAACCACATTGATCATTTGCGCCCGTGCAAGAGGGGAAGATCCTCCCAGATCCACCTCCGGGAGGGGTTGGCCAACATTTGGCTGGAAGATGGAGGAGAAGAGAAGATGAAAGGTCAAGCTGGTTCCTCCTCACCTGCTCGGGTGTCTCGTAGCATCTCCTCGCGGTCTCCTCCTCCACCCAGCCAAGGTTTGGGAACGGGAAATCCTGGTTTGGGAAAAAATAAACAAGCTGTGAGCACGTCCCCTGGTTTGGGTTGTGGGTCGCTCCTGCCCGAGTCGATCCCTACTGAGATGTCAACTGGTGGGACACCGCTGAGATCTCGTGTCTGTAAAACCCTCAAGAGATCTCCAACAGAACCCCCAAAACATCAAGAAATGGATCATAAAAACTCCAAAACACCAAGATACAGCCCATGGGACCCCCAAAACACCGAGATACAGCCCATGGAACCCCCCAAACCCCAAGATATGGACCATAAAATGCCCCAAACACCAAGATACAGCCCATGGAACCCCCAAAACACCAAGATACGGCCCATGGAACCCCCAAAACACCAAGATATGACCCATGGAACCCCCAAAACACCAAGATACAGCCCATGGAACCCCCAAAACACCAAGATACAGCCCATGGAACCCCCAAAACACCAAGATACAGCCCATGGAACCCCCAAAACACCAAGATACAGCCCATGGAACCCCCAAAACACCAAGATACAGCCCATGGAACCCCCAAAACACCAAGATACAGCCCATGGAACCCCCAAAACACCAAGATACGGACAATAAAACCTCCAAAACACCAAGATATGGCCCATGGAACCCCCAAACCACCAAGATATGGCCCATGGAACCCCCAAAACACCAAGATATGGACCATAAAACCTCCAAAACACCGAGATACAGCCCATAAAATGCCCAAAACAGTGGGATACAGTCCGGAGAACCCCCAAAATGCCAAGGTACAGCCCAGATGTAGGGCAGAAAAGCTCCACCCTTAAAAAGAAGGAGGGTCCTGGAGGTCCCCAGCTCTGAGACCG